GCCCCCGCTCGCCGGCCCAGGCGTACCTCCCGCACTCCACTTGCCCTTCGCAACTTCCCCGTGCCCGGTGGTGCCGGGGGACGGCAGTCGAGGCCAGAGCCCTCGGAGTGGCGAGTGCTGAGAGCTAGCCCCTGGGAGAGGATTCAGAGTGCGACGGTGTATCATTCACTTTATGCCACCGTTGCATATCCGGATATGCAACGGTGGCATAAAGTGAATGATACACCGTCGCACTCTGAATCCTCTCCCAGGGGCTAGCTCTCAGCACTCGCCACTCCGAGGGCTCTGGCCTCGACTGCCGTCCCCCGGCACCACCGGGCACGGGGAAGTTGCGAAGGGCAAGTGGAGTGCGGGAGGTACGCCTGGGCCGGCGAGCGGGGGCGCGTGGCGCCCTTCAAGAACCTGTCCTTTTAGATAGGACAAAAATCTTTTTAAAAGGACACATGGGGCTATCCGATATATCCGGATATGCAACGGTGGCATAAAGTGAATGATACACCGTCGCAAAACTGCATTCCTGGGTCGTGCGGAGATATGCATCCGGTCTCGAGCATCCGGTTTGGGTGTACCGGCGGATAGCAGGTGATCGTGAACGCTAAGGTGGGTTTCGAACCAGTGACAACGCCCGTCTGGTTTTTTTGCGCCGAGTCGAACTGCGGGATTCGAACTCGAGACCCAATGCAGTTTTTGCGAACGGTGTATCATTCACTTTATGCCACCGTTGCATATCCGGATATATCGGATAGCCCCATGTGTCCTTTTAAAAAGATTTTTGTCCTATCTAAAAGGACAGGTTCTTGAAGGGCGCCACGCGCCCCCGCTCGCCGGCCCAGGCGTACCTCCCGCACTCCACTTGCCCTTCGCAACTTCCCCGTGCCCGGTGGTGCCGGGGGACGGCAGTCGCGGCCTTGTTTTGGACGTTACGTGCCGCCGCGTTTCGATCACCGATCACCGTCTGAGAGAGAAGTCCTGAGAGAACTCTCCAAAGCCGGTGATCGGTGACCAGGTGACCGGCCGGTGATCATGCAGCTAGTGGGTGGTGCCCCGACCGACGTGAGCGTCATCAACGCCCGCAAGTACCACCTTACGTACGCCGCACTCGGCCGCGGCGAGCTCTCGAATGAAGACGTGCTGAGCCAGCTCACCGTCAAGCGAGGGGTCCGAGAGTACTGCATCGGCAACGAGCTGCACGCTGACCCCGCCGACCCATTGCTGGACGAGCACAAGCACGTCTACGTCTACTTTCTTGAGCGAGTTCGCATCCGCGACTGGCGCTACTACACCGGGTTTGACCTGGAGGGCAGCGACGGGCGCAAACTGCACCCGGAGATCCAGCAGGCGAAGGACACGGCGGGCGACCGAAATCGCGTGATCCAGTACGCTCGCAAGCACGGCAATTACATCGAGGACCTGGAGACGAATGTCAAGGGCGGGCGGCGCGAGATCCCACCGTGGGCCAAGACACTCGACCGTACGGTACGCGGCGGCATGAAGGCGCTCGCCGACAAGCACTCGGATTTCTACATGGGTCGAGAGTGCTCCCGATGCTGCAGGCGCGAGTTGGGACTGGAGACTATCGGCTTTACACGCTCGAGGACTTCACCGAGACCATCGAAGGCAAGCCAAGGGAAGATGTGATGGGTTGCCTGACCAGCGAGCCGATTGTCATCTTTGGCGAGTCCAACATCGCTAAGACTGCCTTCCTTGAGGCATACTTCAAGAAGCCGCTCGTCGTCTCAGAGATGGATGACCTAAAACAGATCAGCTGGGACACAGATGCAATCATCTTTGATGACATGGACTTCACCAACCTGACTGCTGAGGCGACAATCCGACTGCTCGACATGGAGCGTTCACGGAGCGTCAAATGCCGCTACAACAACGGCACTCTCCCGCAGTACATGCCACGCATCTTCACCACCAACAGCCAGCTGACAGAGGAGGACCACATATTTCCTCGAGGGCGCAACGCCAAGCAGCAGCACGCAATTGATCGCCGCTACCGCAAGATTGGTCCGCTGACAGAGCCGCTGCAGCGACTGGGACGCAAGCTCACACCGGGCGAGCTCATAGTGAAGAAGATGGTGAAGGGAGTGCTTGGGCGCGTGACCAAAGGCGCCAGAGGTGCCAAGCGGCCTGCTGCGCCCCCCTCCCAGGCTGCAGCCCCCCCCCCACGCAAGCGGCGGGTGATTGTGGACAGTGATGAGGACTAGCGGTCGTAAAGGACAAACGGTTGCGGGTACGTCTTGGGTCGGTTTTGAATGTGCTTGCTCGTGCTGGGTGGTAACCCCGCGGCCTGGAGGGTGTCAGGTGGACATGGTAGCATACCTCAATGCCCAGGAGAGGCTTGCAGAGAGCTCAATGGGAGCGACAACGCGAGATCAAGTTGATAGTTGTCCTTTTGTAAAGGACAAGTCCTTTAAAAGTCATCGGCCTATCCGATATGCAACGGTGGCATAAAGTGAATGATACACCGTCGCACAGAGCGATTACCGCGCGTCTAGCAGTCGATGCACACCATATACGGGTTAGCAGGCTAACTTGTGTAGAGCCGTAACTAGCGCACACATAGCAAGGACATAGCACACTGCCGAGACATCCACATCGCGATACATGGGCGGCCTCGCGATGGCACGCTCGAGCGGGGCCGGGGGCGCGGGGCGCTCCGAGGCTTTGACCTTAGTTTGAGAAGATATGTATCAGTAGTAGGGACCCGGCTCCATTGGAAGGATATCCTTCAAACGTCCTGCACGCCCTCGATGAGCAAGGCTCCGATCCACATGTATGACAGGCAGACAGACAGACAGACAGACAGACAGACAGAGATACAGTACGGGGAGTTTCCATCATGCACTAGAGGCTCTCGGCCGGTGCAGACCCCGCCGCGGGGTCAGCCCCCGGCGCCTGGCCTGCACCGGCAGACCCCGCGGGCTCAACGCCCGTCTGGTTTTTTTGCGCCGAGTCGAACTGCGGGATTCGAACTCGAGACCCAATGCAGTTTTTGCGAACGGTGTATCATTCACTTTATGCCACCGTTGCATATCCGGATATATCGGATAGCCCCATGTGTCCTTTTAAAAAGATTTTTGTCCTATCTAAAAGGACAGGTTCTTGAAGGGCGCCACGCGCCCCCGCTCGCCGGCCCAGGCGTACCTCCCGCACTCCACTTGCCCTTCGCAACTTCCCCGTGCCCGGTGGTGCCGGGGGACGGCAGTCGCGGCCTTGTTTTGGACGTTACGTGCCGCCGCGTTTCGATCACCGATCACCGTCTGAGAGAGAAGTCCTGAGAGAACTCTCCAAAGCCGGTGATCGGTGACCAGGTGACCGGCCGGTGATCATGCAGCTAGTGGGTGGTGCCCCGACCGACGTGAGCGTCATCAACGCCCGCAAGTACCACCTTACGTACGCCGCACTCGGCCGCGGCGAGCTCTCGAATGAAGACGTGCTGAGCCAGCTCACCGTCAAGCGAGGGGTCCGAGAGTACTGCATCGGCAACGAGCTGCACGCTGACCCCGCCGACCCATTGCTGGACGAGCACAAGCACGTCTACGTCTACTTTCTTGAGCGAGTTCGCATCCGCGACTGGCGCTACTACACCGGGTTTGACCTGGAGGGCAGCGACGGGCGCAAACTGCACCCGGAGATCCAGCAGGCGAAGGACACGGCGGGCGACCGAAATCGCGTGATCCAGTACGCTCGCAAGCACGGCAATTACATCGAGGACCTGGAGACGAATGTCAAGGGCGGGCGGCGCGAGATCCCACCGTGGGCCAAGACACTCGACCGTACGGTACGCGGCGGCATGAAGGCGCTCGCCGACAAGCACTCGGATTTCTACATGGGTCGAGAGTGCTCCCGATGCTGCAGGCGCGAGTTGGGACTGGAGACTATCGGCTTTACACGCTCGAGGACTTCACCGAGACCATCGAAGGCAAGCCAAGGGAAGATGTGATGGGTTGCCTGACCAGCGAGCCGATTGTCATCTTTGGCGAGTCCAACATCGCTAAGACTGCCTTCCTTGAGGCATACTTCAAGAAGCCGCTCGTCGTCTCAGAGATGGATGACCTAAAACAGATCAGCTGGGACACAGATGCAATCATCTTTGATGACATGGACTTCACCAACCTGACTGCTGAGGCGACAATCCGACTGCTCGACATGGAGCGTTCACGGAGCGTCAAATGCCGCTACAACAACGGCACTCTCCCGCAGTACATGCCACGCATCTTCACCACCAACAGCCAGCTGACAGAGGAGGACCACATATTTCCTCGAGGGCGCAACGCCAAGCAGCAGCACGCAATTGATCGCCGCTACCGCAAGATTGGTCCGCTGACAGAGCCGCTGCAGCGACTGGGACGCAAGCTCACACCGGGCGAGCTCATAGTGAAGAAGATGGTGAAGGGAGTGCTTGGGCGCGTGACCAAAGGCGCCAGAGGTGCCAAGCGGCCTGCTGCGCCCCCCTCCCAGGCTGCAGCCCCCCCCCCACGCAAGCGGCGGGTGATTGTGGACAGTGATGAGGACTAGCGGTCGTAAAGGACAAACGGTTGCGGGTACGTCTTGGGTCGGTTTTGAATGTGCTTGCTCGTGCTGGGTGGTAACCCCGCGGCCTGGAGGGTGTCAGGTGGACATGGTAGCATACCTCAATGCCCAGGAGAGGCTTGCAGAGAGCTCAATGGGAGCGACAACGCGAGATCAAGTTGATAGTTGTCCTTTTGTAAAGGACAAGTCCTTTAAAAGTCATCGGCCTATCCGATATGCAACGGTGGCATAAAGTGAATGATACACCGTCGCACAGAGCGATTACCGCGCGTCTAGCAGTCGATGCACACCATATACGGGTTAGCAGGCTAACTTGTGTAGAGCCGTAACTAGCGCACACATAGCAAGGACATAGCACACTGCCGAGACATCCACATCGCGATACATGGGCGGCCTCGCGATGGCACGCTCGAGCGGGGCCGGGGGCGCGGGGCGCTCCGAGGCTTTGACCTTAGTTTGAGAAGATATGTATCAGTAGTAGGGACCCGGCTCCATTGGAAGGATATCCTTCAAACGTCCTGCACGCCCTCGATGAGCAAGGCTCCGATCCACATGTATGACAGGCAGACAGACAGACAGACAGACAGACAGACAGAGATACAGTACGGGGAGTTTCCATCATGCACTAGAGGCTCTCGGCCGGTGCAGACCCCGCCGCGGGGTCAGCCCCCGGCGCCTGGCCTGCACCGGCAGACCCCGCGGGCTCCTCGGCCGCCGGCGCAGCCGGTGGTGCAGGCGCCTCCGCGGCCCGGCGAGCGGTGCGCTGGCCAAGAAGCCCCTTGAGGAGGCCGGCCAGCCGCTCGCTTTGGCCGCCGCGCGGCGCCGTGCCGCCGATCCCGAGCAGCGTGGACGCCGCTTCGCGCTTGGTGTGCCCCCGCTCGTAGATCACCTCGTCAAAGGTCGAGGAGGCCAGCAGGTAGCTGATCGCCACCGGCCGCGTCTGGCCGATCCGGTGCATCCGGTCCTCGCACTGGCGGTGCACGAACGGGTTCCACCACACGTCGAGGAAGAAGCCGTGGCAAGCCTCCGCAATGTTGAGCCCGACGCTGCCGGCACTCAGGCACAGCAGGAGGACGCGAATCTCGGGCCGCGACTTGAACGTCGCCAGCTGCTCCGAGCGCTCCGCCGGCGGGTCGTCGCCGTCGAAGCGGCAGCAGCGCACGCCGTCCTCGCTCAGCATCGCTTCCACGAGGTCGAGCCCGCCCTTGAAGTTGGAGTAGACGATAGACTTCTCCGCAGAAGGGACCGCGGCCAGCTGCCGCCGCAGCGCAATCAACTTGGTGCTGAGCCGCAAGCCGCCAAACGGCACGCCGTTGGCATCGGCGACCTCCGAGCAGATGAGCGTCCCCTCCGGGCCGCCGCCGTCCTCGCCGGTGCCGCCGCCGTCCTCGCCGGTGCCGCCGTCCTCGCCGGTGCCGCCGTCCTCGCCGGTGGCGCCGTCCTCGCCGTTGGCGCCGTCCTCGCCATCCGACTCGCCGCCTCCGGCGCTCACTTTCAGCATCCTCCGCTGCAGGCGGCACCGCGGGCAGGCCGGGTAGGCTGGCGACGCGAGGACCTGCGCCGCGCAGCAAGCGTGCACCCAGTGCGGCTCCGCTGCGCCGCACGCCGTGCGCGGGAGCTGCACCAGGTTCTGCGCGGGAAAATCGTTCGTGCACTTGCCGCACGAGCACGCGTCGGGCGGGCCGCGAGGCCGCCCAGACCCCACCGGCGCCCCACCGTCGACCGCAGCCACCCGCGGGGCAGGCTCAGCCGCCAGCCCGTCCTCCTCCTCCGCCTCCTCTTGCTCCTCCTCCGCCTCCGCCTCCTCACCCTCGTCGCTATCATCGCTGTCCTCGCCGTCGCCGTCGCGCACAATGAAGCCATCGAGGTCGTCATCGTCGTCATCGTCCTCCTCCTCCTCGTCGTCCAGCGCGTCGCCGTCCCCGGCCTCGTCCGCCTCGTCCTCCGCGCCGGCGCCCATCCCCCCGAAGCTCGGGTTGCAGCACACGCACACCGCCTTGGCCGCCTTGAGGTCGGACGGGCGAGCGGCACGGCTCGGCGCGAAGAGCTTGGTCACCTACTCGGCAAGAGGCGGAGGGAGCTTTGAGGGGACGGCGACAGGGTGGGCGGAAGCAGAGAGGGCGGCCGGCAGAGCGGGCGGCCGGCAGGTGGAGGCGGCGGGGGCCGCGGCGCAGTCACCTCCCTCCCCTTGCCGCCGAGCGCAGGGTGGATCAGCACCATGCGTGCCTCCTGCGCGAGGCCCATGCAGCGCTTCTGGAGCCGCATCAGGTCGCGCCGCTTCCTCGCCGCCGCCGCCTTCCCGCTCGCCTTGCGCTTCATCACCGTGACGAGGTTTCGGAGCGACTTGATCAGCACCTCCTCCACCGGCGAGTAGAGCTGCCGCTCCGGCCCCGAGGGGAGCACCGCCTCCTCGCTCACGCTCTTCGGCGGGAGCGCCGTCGCCAACACGCTCTTGTCGCGCATGAGCAGGTGCAGGGCCAGCCACGCTCGGTGCTCATCCTTCATCGTCCCGCTGCCCTCGAGCGCGTCCCGCGCCTCCCGCCAAAAGGCGGGGGCGGAGGCGGCCGCCCCCGGCTCGATGAAGGAGGAGAGGGTGGCGAGATCCCCTTCCCGGTTGTTGTACGGAGTCCCCGTCGCGAGCACGACGCGGCGCGCGTGCTGCCCCATGAGCGCCGCGGCCATCGCCCAGAAGGAGAAGGGGTTGCGCAGCTCGTGCGCCTCGTCGAGCACAAACGTGAGCCAACAGCGCTGCGAAGGCGCGAAGGCAGCGCCCTCCTGCGCAAGCCGCCGCGCCAGCTTGACCGGATCGCACGTGCCGTACCGCGACCGCCCCTTGGCCTTGCGCCCCTTGTCCGCCTCGTACGCGGCCTGCAGAGCTCGCGCGCAAGCCGCAGTCGCCGACGGCATCAGCGGCGAGGGCACCGGCGGCAGCTCGGCCGCCCCGCCCGCTGTGCCCGCCGCCGCCGCCGCCGTGGATGCGCGCTGCCGCCACCCGCCCGCCTCCGCCGCCCTCGGGCCGAGCGGCACTGCGTCGGCGGCCGTGCCGGCGGGCGGGTCCGCCTTGAGGTGGCTGAAGACGGCGCGCTGGTCCGCCTGCAGCTTCCACTTGTGCAGCAGGACCAGGCGCGGGTAGGGGGAGCGGCCGCGCAGCGCTGGCGCGCGCAGCGCACGCGGCGAGAAGTCGCCGGTGTAGACGAGCACCTCGCCCTCGCCGAAGCCCGACTGCTGCAGGCTGTCGCGCCACTGGGACAGCACCGCCTCGGTCGGCGCCACGACCACCGTCGACAGCGCGGCCAGGTCCTCCCCCCGCCGCGCAGCGAGGAACTCGCGGACGACGATCGCGCCGATGGCGGAGAAGGTCTTGCCGAGGCCCATGTCGTCGCCGAGCACCACCCCGCGTCCCTCCCCCAGCGCCTCCTCCTCCTCCACCTCCTCCTCCGGCGGGTAGTGCGTGGGCCACCCCGGCGGCACCCCCGCGCAGAAGCGGACGGCTTCGATCTGGTGCGCGTGGGCGGTCCACCGGCAGCCGAGAGCCCACAGGAGCCGTTGCAGCGGCACGTCCTCCGGCTTGAGCTTCTGCAGCGCCTCGCGCCGCCCCTCTGGGATGGGGTCTGCGGGGCGGGCGGGGCGGGCGGGTGAGCAGGGGGTGGGGCGGCGGGGCAGGGACGGGAGGGGGCGCAGCTGGGAGCACCGTCAGCCGACATAGGCGGCACGACTAGCCGGCTGCCGCGGCGGGCCGCTGGCGCGCGGCCGGCTCCTGCGGGGACGAAGCGTCCCCAGCCGCCCGGCGGCGGCGCGTCGAGGCTGCGCCTCCTCTCCGCCTCCTCGAGCGCCTGCGCGCGCTGCCGTCCGGTGTAGAGGTGCGGGAAGACGCCGCAGTGGTCGTCCTCGTCGTCCGACACGTCGCACAGGCGGACGACGCGACGCTCGGTGATCTCGCCCGGCAGCCGGTCCGTGTCGACGAAGGCGGGCGCGTCGGATCCGCGGCTCGGCGCAGCCACGCCGGTGCGCGCGGCGCTCAGCGCTGCAAGGGAGGAGCCCTCGCCTGCATGCGCGGCGGCGGGCGCGCGGGGCGTGCGGGGCGGCGGAGGCGGCGGAGAGGAGCCCTCGTCTGCGTCGTCGGAGGAGGCGCCCGCCCGACCCGCCGATCGCGGCGGCAGCCTCCAGATGTCTTCATCGCTCTCGCTCTCGTCGGTGGCGTCGCGCGAGCCGTCCAGGAGTAGCTCGGCCGCTCGATCCACGTTCCCCGCGCTCACGCGTAGGGCGTGCGCCGCTTCCTCGCCGCTCACCGGCAGAAGCGCACGCAGTCGTTTGACGTTGATCGACGCCTCGGAAGGCAGAGGCCGCTTGCTGCCCCTGTCGTCGAAGTCGCCAGCCGTGAGCGCGGCAGTGGCCATTCCCGCCGCGGCGGCGGCGGTGGCGTCGGCGGCCGCGGCGGAGGCGGAGGCGGAGGCAGAGGGGGAGGGCGCCGGCCACGCCGGGGAGTCATCGGAGAGGGACTCCAGGCACTGCGGCCTGACTCCGAGGAACGTGCCGTCTGGCATTCGCACCCTCCAACGACCGCCGTCCGCGTCATGTCGCAATCTGACCAGGGTCCCGGTGCTGCCGTTGAACTCCTCACGCGCGATGAGGTTCTTGATTCGGACCTTCTGCTTCGGAGTGAGCATCGGAGTGGAACCAGCACGGCGGCGAGCGCGACAACCACAAGAACAACTCGCGGGCCCCGAAACAACCCAGCTCGGAAGAAAGAACTTAAAGAACGGAACTCTCTCTCACAGCAGACAGGCTCGACACAGGTGCGAACTGGCGCGTGCTAAAAAAAGAAAAGAAAGTTCGAACCCTAAGCAAACAGCGCCGATAGCTGTCCTCTACTCCGCTCCGCCTCGCTCGCTCACGCAATGGTGCTCATCATCGACGGCGAGATCGTCGCGGACAACGACCCGCGGGCGGTGGCCGCCCGTCAGCGGCGCGGCGGCGGGGCTGGCGCTGGCGCAGGTGCAGGCGCTGGCGCTGGTGCGCGAGGCTTCGGCGGCGGTGCTGGCGGTCCGGGAGGCTTTGGTGGCGGTGCTGGTGGGCCAAGGCAGGCACCAGCTGGTGGCGCAAATGGGGCGGAAGGCGCGGGCCCGCTCGACCAGCTCGCGGCGGCCGTTGGCGTGCAGGGCCAGAGCATCACCGTCCCTGCCGTCTGGCGCGTGCCATCGCGAGAGGTGCCGCTCATTTGGCTGATGCTCCTCGGCGTCTTCACGCTCTTCCTCGGCTGGCAAGTGGTCGCGGTGGCGGCGCTGCTGCACGTCGTTAGCGGTATCAGCGAGGCGAATGTCGCGGCGGGTGGCGGGGGCAGGGCGGGCGCCGGCGGTGGCGGAGGTGGAGGAGGCGGTGGAGGAGGCGGGGTGAGTGGCGTGGCTGGCATCCATCGGTGAGGGATGTGTATCTGCGGACGCCTGGTCGATGCGCGAAGCAGAGCGCAGGAGTCCAGGGGCCAGCTCGCGGCTACCGGGTCCCCTTGTGCAAAAGTGGAAGTGCCCTCTCGTCTACGGCTTTATAGAGGGAAGTGCACAGGAAGTGCACCGAGAACACATCGGCGGGGGAGGCGGAAAGGTGTTGAGGATAAGAGTCGGTCGTTTATAGCTTCGTCACATCACAAGACACCCAAGCTGACACGCGGCCTCTGCACCCCACCCGGCTTCTCCGATCCACACAGCGAGTCGACTCTCGCGCGCCTTCTCGCGGCTCTCGGCTCTCGATTATAGACGATAGACTCTTGTGAGTCGCGTACCGGCATCATCGCATGCGCGTGCTCGCCCACACCGACAGCTCGCGGCACAGCCGGCGGGCCCTCCCCGCCGCACTCCGGCACAGAGCCTCAGCGGCCATTCACCGTGCAGATTGGGCAATGCCAGTCGTCTGCACACTCCTCCGCTCGGGACTGGGCCAGCTCCCGCAGCGGCGCCAGCGTGCGCTTCCCGAGCTCGTAGGTCGAGATCATGATTGCGTTGGCGGGCGCCACGCGTGCGACACGCGGCACCACGCCGGCGAAGAGCGCCGCCGCGCCCTCGCTGCGCACCACGCTGAGCACGCCCTCCGCCGCCGCGCCACTCCCCGCCGCGAGCTGCTGCCGCGTCTTGACCACGTCGAGCGGCGTCGTCGCGAGCGCGGCGACGCTGCCCGCGGCGGCGCCGGCGAGGAAGGCCGCGCTCGTCGTCACCTCGCCCTGCGGGTGCGTCGCCTGCAGGACGGGTGACGGACAAGTCGTGGGCATGTCGTGGACATGTCGCCACCTCGCCGTGCGGGGGCGTCGCCTTTGCGCGCCGGCGCAACGCCTCGTACAGCGCCCAGTAGATGCATGAGAAGGGCACGTCCCGCCACAGCGACGCGCCGAGCCCGGTCCACAGCGAACCCACGCCGCCAGAGCGCACCACCCTCGCCGCCGTCGCGCCGAGGCCGTCCGAGGAGCCCGTCGCCTGCATGCGCGTGCGCAGGAGCTCCAGCGGCGAGAAGAGAGACGTCACGAGCGCACGCGCCGAGCCTCCCGCCCCGAGCGGCGCCCAGGCCCCGCCGGCGATGGGCGTGAGTCGGTCGCGCCCCTCCTCGTACACCGTCAGGTAGATGACGGTCGAAGGCACGTTCATGAGCAGGGTCGGCCGAAGGCCGTTCCAGAGCGAGAGGGTGCCCTCCTCGCGAATCATCCGCGAGAAGACCTGCCGCATGGAGAGCGTGGGTGCCGCCTGCTGCCGCACCTTGATCACCTCGAGCGGAGACATGGAGACGCTGGTCAGGACCGCGCCGGTGCTGGCGCTGGCCGCCTGCTCCGCCCGCGTCGGCTGGATCGAGATGTGGCGGGTGAGCGTGACACGCGACATGCGGCGGCCTCAACGTGCGTGGATCGGGAGCTGCCGGACGAATAGGGACCTACCGGAGACGGGATTGGAGGGGCCTGCCCGTCCACAGTGCGCGCGAAGCGAGGATTCTTTCTTCGGTGCTGTTGTGCACAGAGATGCTGTATTGTAAGAATTCTTTCTCGAAAAAATTCCTTGACCCCCCCCCCACATACGGAGAGAAAGAACTTCCCGCTGCGAGACACACAGGGCGCGGGAGGCGCGCACTGTCAAAGAATTTCACAAGAACTCCCTCGCATGAACGAAAACAAGCTCTCACCTGGCAACCCTGTCTGCACGTCTCGCGCGCGCGTGAACAGGGCTCCAGGCCCCAAATGACGTGTGAGTGTTAGAGTTGTTTGGTATTGCTAAAAATCTCTCTCTCTCTCTCTCATGAACGACGGTCGACGCGCCACGCACGCGCGAGTCCCGTGCCCATGTCGTGCGAGAAACAGAAAGAATGCACACTGCCTTGAGCATTGTATGGAGAGGGAAAAGACGAGGATATGATAGAGGCGCGATGGCGGGGGGAAGAACGACTTGCGGGGCATGGAAGGAGTCGAACGAGCCGGTGAGGGAGGGGTCGGTCGTGAGCTACGGGCGTAAACCGTTATAAGCTGGATCGTTCGACCATCTTGAGCTACAGTCTACAGACCTCCAAAAGCACAAAAACGCATGCCTCTGTTTTCTCATTCTTTGCCGTAAATGTTTCAACTATCAACTAATATCGGTTGTGGGACGGACGGGTCGGTCGGCGTGCACGCTGCAGTCGGCACCGAGGCGACAAAACGGCGGACCAACGGGGGAAGATAACGAATCCTTTACGCTTTTAGTTGATAGATGATAGTTGTCGTCGTGTAGTGTCTAAGACGTAAGAGTGGAAAAAAGAAGCGTAATTTTTGCTGATTTTGCGTATTAGGCGGCACCCGACTCCAAGGATACGCTGAAGACGCTGACCTGAGAATAGCGCATGTCGCTGCGCTGAAGGGCTCACGCTATAGGGTGCTGGATGAGGACGGGTACGAGGCGCAGCCCCCGCAGTCGGGGGGGTGTTGCCAGCACTGGTAGATGACCTCTCGAAGAAGAGCCGGAGGGACCTTGGCGCCGCGCGGGGTCACGAGGAACTTGCAAGTCGTGGCCGAGGCGGCGACAGGAGCGGTGCAGAGGTGGATCCAGCTCAATGATGAGGCTACGGCGCGCATAGGATTCCTAATGAAGAGAGAGGAACACATCGAGTGGCTGAGGAAGCTCTTCGCTGGGTGGAAGGAGGCCCGGCCAGCCTTGAGGGAGTCGCGGAGGAGGAGGGATAATGGAGGTAACGTAGCTAAAAGAAGTGGGTGAGACTGATGATGCTCACCTTCGCCTTAGGGAGCGGTTCAGCTGCTGGGCGGACTTCAGGGTGAGGTGCTCACGCGAAAAGGAATCGACGCGATGTACGAAGCATACAAGAAGAGGAGAAAGAAGAGGAGAGACACCGGTGATGACGAAACTAGCGCTGGCGAGAGCAGGGCAGACCCGGGGACTGGGGAGCCGGAGCAGACGGCATCGGCCGCCGAGGGGATGTTGGGAAGAGGCACGAGGAGGGCGGCGACCTCGACCGACTATGGAGGACCCGTCGCCAGAGGACGCAGGGCAGACGACGGTGAGGCGGAGCAGACGCGCAGGGCGAGACGAGGGAGGGAGCAGGACGTTGCGGAGATCAGCAGGAGGAGATGTACGAAGAGATTAGGAGCAGCAGGGACCCGAGGGACCATGTGGAGAAGACGGCTAGTGCTAGTCCCCCGCCATCGGGTACGGGAGGACGACCCCGGCTAGTCGCCAACCACACCCACAAAGAGAGAACCCTGCACACAAAGATCGCACGGGCGGGGGGACCCGTTCCTTTTTACCCATCTCAGTTCTCACACGGTCACAGTAAGAGAGGTGTCCGTGTTTTATTTATTTGATTTTGGCTGTCGCGCGCTCTCCCTATTTCACTTCTATTGATTCGAGTCAATTCACAACATCAAACTATTGTCTGGTCCATACATCCGCACATCCTTCCCGCGGTGCCCCAAGCCCAACGACGTTGAGTCCGTTATCAGCGATTCGAGGTGCTGCTGGACAGCAGCGTCGCTGGCCGGCATCGCCATCGAAAATGTCTGCGAAGGGGCCACGCACGTCTCGCGCCACTTGAGCAGCGCCTCTACCAACGGCCTCTTGCTGGGCAGGTTGCTGCTGCCTTGCACGCCGCTGCTTGTAAGCATCTTCTTGGTCTCGCCCGAGAAGTGCAGCGCGGGAGTGGCCGCCCACCGGCGCAATGATGTGTGCAACCTGCGTAGCAATCAGCGCACGTGAAGTCACGTGCCCGAAGGCAACAACTACAGTTCATGAGTAGATCAGTGCGCCCCCCTTTTCATGTGCCGGATCGCGATCCGCCCATCAAACCTGCGCGCGAGGAAGTTGTAGCGCTCCGGCAGCATTCGCGCCGTGCCCCAGAGCGGGGCGGTACCACTGTACCCATACAGCAACGAGTTGATGGCCCCCTGGTCACTCCCTTCTCGGGAGGGTACCTTGCCCGCGACAATGGGCTGCAGCACTGCGGAGCGGAAGTGCGACCCGGTGAGCGGTCGAACGGAGAGCACTCCAGTGTTGACCATGCGCCTGCGTGTCAGGGAGTTGGCACGTGAGAGAGAGAGAGAGAAATTGTGTGCGTGTGCGTGTGTGTGCGCGTGTGTGCGTGCGTGTGTGCGTGTGTGTGGTGCGTGTGTGTGTGTGTGTGTGTGTGTGTGTGTGTGTGTGTGTGTGTGTGTGTGTGTGTGTGTGTGTGTGTGTGTGTGTGTGTGTGTGTGTGTGTGTGTGTGTGTGTGTGCACGCTCAATCATGCACCTGCAGGGTCGGCGCCCAGGACGGCCGCAGTCTCTGCAAGTCCAGCTTTCCTCTGATAGCGTCTCTGACCAGCATGTGCGGTGGATGCCGATGTTGGGCGCAGCGGCAAACGAGTCATTGAGCAGGCACAGCTCGTCCACGTTGCGGCGAATATGGACGTCGGGGTCGATCCACACGATCCGCTGCGCCGCGCCTCCAGGCAATGCCAGGAGGTTGAGCTTGTCGAGGACGCGTGATCTGGACCAGCGTCCGAGGGAGAGCGGGTGGCCAGGTCGGAGGATGCGTGACATGCGGTACTGGTATGGAAAGCGAGACCACGTCACGATACCGTCCACACCCTCGGACAAAGGTAGCGCCTGGCGCGCTGCGGAAACGTCATCCTCCAGCACGGCCACCACAAACGGCCAGCGTGACCCAAATTGTCGCAACTGCCGCGCCAGGCACCTTGATGCATTGAGGTCGTGTCCAGATCCGCCCGTCATGAACATGCAATGGGACTGCAGCACGGCTCCGCTTCCGTTCGTGGGAATTAGCTGCGGCGGCCTCCAAAGGGGCGCTGGAAGCCGGCTCGGCATGCCAATCTCAATGCAGTCAACAGTGGCCGCTAACTCGCAAACAACAAGAGCTCGTCGCCGAAAAAAGAATTATTTTCTCCGACACTGGGCACGGGACTCACTGGTAAGGCCCAGAGTCGTGCGAAAAAAGAATTTTACAACCGTGTCGTGCGAAAAAAGAACCACGCGCGAGCACTGGCACTACTACACCGTGCGAAAAAGAATCTCCCAAGGCAACTCTCTAGCCCGTAACCCGATGCCAATCATCCGGCCCGCTGGGTGCGCTTCCGCTTAGCTGCGCCCCCCCCGGCCCTGGTTGTGCGGTTGAAACTCCACGAAAGTGCTCCAAGAGTTAAGTACCCCTTGCGTTGCTGGTTTTCTTTATTTCTACCTGGTGGTGTAGGTGTTTGCGCTAATATCTTCACGCGGGTTGATGAAGTGTCGCGCGATGCGCTGCGAGCGCCCGCAGGGGAGGTGGCCGCAGGGGCGCCCGTCGCACAAATGGGGGAGGACTCGAAGACCGTCGAGGACTCACATCGCGGCTGCTCTCGTCGCCAGCGCGAAGCGCCCGCGCCGCCCGTGCCGCCTCGGCGAGATTCACGTACGGGTGCGCCGCGTGCTTCCCGGGCAGAGCCCATCCGTGCTTCTGAAGCACGCGCACAATCTCTTCCAGCCGCTCCTCGGCCGCGTTGTGCTGGCTCGCGCGCACCTCGGCCTCCTGCCCTGCAGCTTCCGGCGGCGCGGGGTCGAGCTGCGCCCTCGCCGTCTGCAGCATCTCCAGTGCAGTAGCCACCCACTCCTGCACTGCCGCCTCCTGGCCCTCTCGCTCGAGCGCAGCGTGAGACCGCAAGAGGCGCAACCGTTCAGACGCAGCGTGGCCAAGCAAGCTCCACAGGGCGAGGAGCGCGGTTTGCACGCGTGGAGATGCGAGGAGGGGCGCCTGGCACAGCTTGGCTGCCGGGGCTGCCGGGGCGCTGCTTGGAAGCGCCAAGGTCCGAGAGGGAAGCTCCTCGTCTTCTGAGAACCTCGCCGCCGCGCGGACCATGGCGGCCCGCTCCGGCGACTCTGACCGCCTTTCCCGCGAGGGGGTGCGCAAGGCGCTTCGGACACGGACAGGTGGCGCAAGGTGGACCTCGGGGAGAATAGGAGCCGAGGCGCTGCCCGCCGCCGCCGTAGTGGACATGGGCGTTTGATCCTCGGCTTGCAGCCTGCTGCTGAGGTGGGGGGTCGTCTCGTCCTCGTTGCCGGCGCTAGGTAGACGCTCGGGGCCTAGCTGCGGGATCGCCGCCCGTGGAGTAGCCTCTCTTGTAGTGGGCTGATAGGTTCTTCTCTCCTGCCCTGCGCCGCTCAGGTCGCAGCTCGCCTCGCCTCCTCGCTCCTCGCCGAGGATGGCTCCCACGTGGCTCTCGAGCGCCGGTTGCGGCACCGCCGACCACGGAGTGGTCTGTCTGGAGGAGGCTGCTGACGGCGGTGGAGCAAGTGGCGGAGGAGTGGGGGGCGGCGGCGGCGGCGAAAGCAGGGGCGGCGGCGGCGCAAGAGGCATCGACGCTCGGACGCCAGCGAGGTAGTCGTCGAGGGTTGTGGGGCGAGCTGGGCGCACCCCCATGGTGCGGCTCACCCCCTCCTCGCCAACACACTGCACGGGCCTCCAACCGTGCAGCCTTCTGCGTGGGCTGCGGCCGGTGGCGGCGCCGATACCGCCGATCGCCAGCCTGTCGTCCGTCCAGAGAGGGAGTGGAGGTGCAGCTGGGGTTGTCGACGGTGCGCAAGTCTCGACAGGATGCGACGGAGGGAACGGTAGAGGCGTGCTCGGCAGAGGCGCAGAGCTCGGACGCGCAGCGTGGCATTGCCCAGCAGCCGACGGGGACTCGCCGGCTGCGCGCAGCGCTGCGGCGCGCTTGCGCGCCACCCTCCCTCGGTAGACTGCCCCCACGCGGGTCGCAGCTGCCCCCACGTGGACCGCCTCTGCGCCCGGCGCGTCCGCCTCTGGCTCTGCGTGCGCCTCGGCGACACTCGGCGGTCCACGCGACGCGCGCCGCCGAGCGGCTTCTGCGCGCGCCGTCCGCCCTCGCGCCCGCGCCTCGAGCTTGGTTGCCGCCCAGATCTCCAAATCGCTGGGAGCGGCGGCCGCCTCCGCCTCCTCCGCCTGACCCTCGGGCTCTGCCTCTGCATCCTCCTCGACCGAGGTGGCCTGCGGCGGTGCTGCAGGAGGCGGCTCGCCACAGATGCAGTCGGCCACCGCCATGCCTGCGAGCTGGTCTGGTGTAGCCTGCGCCGGCGCGAGCACGTCTTCACTCGGCGCCGGCGGCGTCGGCAGCGGCGGCGCGCTGACCCGCGCCAGTGCGCACAGCTTGAGGAGGTCGTCGAGCACGTCCTGCAGGTGCGCGGCGTGGACAAAGTCGGGGATCTCGAGGTCGGGCAGCCGGGTCGAGACGGGCATGAACGGAAAGCGCGGCGGGGTCAGCCCGCTCGTGACGGGGGCCCACACTGACGGGAGCGACTGGAGCTCCAGAACCTCTGGCGGTGGCATCCGGACGCGAGGAAAGCTGCGCAGCTCGATCACCGGCGCAAAGTCCGCCCTCTCCGCTTCCGCCCTGCGCTTCTCCGCTGCCGCCGCGGCTGCCGCGGCGGCGGCCTCTCGCTCCGCCGCCGCCTTCTCCGCTGCGAGCAGACTCGCTCTCGCCTCCGCCTCTGCCCTCACTGCGTCCTCAATCTCTCGCCGCGCCGCGGCGAGCTCCTCGCTCCTCCGTGTTGCCCTTCTCTCCGCCGCCTCTGCCTCGGCCCTCACGAGGTCGGGAGTCTCTGCGGTCGGCAGACTACCCTCGGCGAGGCAGCGGTACAGTGGGTCATCCCCCTCTCTGCGCCCGGCGTGGACTCCCCACGAGGCCCTGAGGAGGCCCCACGGTCTGCGCCGCGGAGAGGCTATCGCGCTGGCGCTGCCGTCAAGCGCGAGGCCGTCGAGCAGCATCGCGAGGCGCGCTGGCTGCCCGTGATGCGGCGTTCGGCCCGCCGCGTCCGCCGCATCCCTCCTCTGCCGCCTCGCTGCGGCCTCCTCCCCGCCCTCCTCCCGCTCGGCTCGCCGTAGCTCCCGCTCTGCCGCCTCTACGAGCGCAACGTGGGGAGCACCGTCCAGCTCACCCCATCGCTCGGGCTGGCCCGTGATCTTTGCGGCCTGGGTGACGACCGCCGACAGCCGCACCTTGCGCTCGCTGCGCGGCGTCAGCTCCCGCTGCAGCATTGCGTGCCAGCCATTGTCGTCGTCGAGGTCTGGCAGCCGCACGCGAGGTCGCGGCGTTGAAGTGCTCGCCGCATCCATGGTCGGTCCGGCCCCCGCGTCGCACGCAGCCGTCGCGACCTCGGATGGCCTGACGCACCCGTGAAGGGCATCGTTTCGGCCCCGAACGTTACGCCCGATCATCATCACGACACGCTCGACTTTATTTATAAATAGTGCAAGTTTATTTTTCGCTTCGCAGGGCGTTGTTCTCCAGTCAGGGTCAAAGGGTAGAGCTTGCGCGCCATTTCTTTGCTCCCGCTGGCAACAGCCACCCACGAGAGCCACCAACCACGGCCGGCGGCGCCGATCTGCTCTTCTTGCCGGTCTGAAGGAGAAGGTTGGGGCAAGAGAGAGATTTTAGCTATGTGTTGTTGGGCGGGGCTGTAATGTCGATTCGTGGTCAGTTGTACTAACGGACAACGCCAACAACATATTACCTACAACGGTGTAATGTCGATTCGTGGTCAGTTGTACTAACGGACAACGCCAACAACATATTACCTACAACGGACAACGCGAGGAGAGAGATTTTTGGCGCAATACAAGCAATTTGTCGTGTTGTCAAACGATTGAGATTTGTTGTCGTACTCTCTCTCTCTCTCTCTAAGAAAACAGACAACCCAAGGGAGGGATGGGAGGACGGCACGCCGCCACCACACAGGGATTTTAAGGAGAGGTGTGTGGTGCGCTAGCCGTCGCCCACCCTAGGGAGTCTGCCTCTTCCTATCTCTCTTCGCAGTCTCTCGCCGATTCTCGCTGCAACCTTCATGCCACCTCGCGGTCGTCCCACTCTCGTCGTTCTCTCCCTTGTCATTTGTTGTCTTGTCTTGTCAACGCGGTGCGCGAGCAAAAATTCTTTTACCCGACAGCGCGGCCAAAACACGACTTCGCGTCGAGCTTGCCACGAGCATGACGGCCTTGCTCCTCACCGCCGCGTGTAATGCCGCCCTGCTCGTTGCGCCGCGCGTCAGCACGGCGGTGGACGCGCTCTACCCGCCGGCGGCGTATAATGACCGCCGCGTGCTCGCCCGCGATGCGGCGCTCGCGCTCGTTGGACTGAGCACGGCGGAGGGCATCCCGCTCGCCGGCGACACGATGGTCTACGGCGAGTTCGACCTAAACTTCTTTGCCCAGCTCCTCGCACTGGCCGACCCGCAGCGCGGCGACACGCTCCTCGACGTCGGCTCCGGCGTCGGTCGGCTCGTCCTCGCCGCCGCGCTCCTTCACGCGGACACGCTGCGCAACTGCCACGGCGTCGAGATCTCGCCGCCACTGCACGACGCGGCGATCGCCGCCCGCGTAGCACTCGACAGCCTGAGCCCGTCTCCGCCGGTCGCACCGGTCGAGTTCACTTGCGGCTCCGTGCTCGACGGAGCGGGGCTCGAGGCGGTGGAGGCGGCGGACGTCTTGTTTAGCTACGCCGTCACATGGGCTTCGGGCGAGACGCACAGCCGGCTCGTGCGGGCGCTAGCCGAGCGGCTTCCCGACGGCGCGCGCGTCATCTCGATCGACCTCGCACTAGACGCGCAGGCGGCGGGGGCGGCGGAGTCGGGCGCTCGCTTCGAGCTGCTGCACCAGCTTACTGGCCCAAACGAGGAGACAGGCGGCGAGGCGACCGGGCTGGTCTACAGGCTGGTAAGAGATCGGAGACGGGGCAAGGGCGGCGGAACCGCAAGCGGGGGAAGACCGTGACCGTGTGATGGGGCTTTGTAAACCCGGTTAGAGAGCCGTCGGGGGGCGGGGGCGGCGGCCAGCTCCTCACACGATTTGGGCGCGGTCACATCGACTTGCAAATGACACGCTCACACGTTCACGCCTTTTTAGCGAGGTCTCCGGGCGCGGTTGCGACCACCCGTACTCCTTGCGGGTCAGAGTAATGCTAATGGAAATCTCTTACGCAAGAACGCACAGGAGATCGTTGGGGTGTAAGAGATAGTAGATTAAGACTGGAGATCCTAACGGATCTCTCACACGGACACGCCCAAGTCTCGCCAGTAGATCCCTCCTGTCCGGTTCCCCATTCAAGACTAAAGAACGAAGATTGAGATTGTGGATTGCAGATCGCTGAGCAGCAACACGGGCCAAAATGTGGGAGATAGGAGATGGAGAATGCAGATTGTAGATCCTAGCGCCCAGCCATCCGCCCCAGATGTGAGATCGAAGATTGAAAATGGAGGTCGTAGATTGCTGCCGGCGGCGACAGTGGCCAAGTAGAAGATTGGAGATTGGAGATGAGAGATGGTCAGTGTGAATGAATCCAAATTGCATCTCCTTGAAGGTTTGAGCCCCCCTCCTCCCCCGGGCCCCCGAATCGAGATTGGAGATTGGAGATTGGAGATTGGAGATGGAGATCGGAGATCTGACTGAATCCGGCCTAAGATGACGACGTTGGGAGATTGGAGATTGAAGATGGAGATCGGAGATCTGTCTGACTGGATCCCCGGCCTAAGATGACGACGCTGTGGATTGGAGAGTATTGGAGGTGGGGAGGTCGGAGCCCACCCACCCCCTAGTGGTGTTGATAGATGTTTTTATAGATTTTTGGTTTTTCCTGTGGTCT